AGCAAAGCGTCATTCAAGTCTCGACTTGATAAGTATCTACGTCTAGTTGCCTTCTCTTGAGTCCTCCCTCGAAAAAATTCTTTTTTATAAAAAAAATTTATTATGAATATTTTTTTTAAATTTGTATACCTACTGTAGCCCTCTTCTAGTTAGTTATGCTTTTCCCTATTTATTATAGCAAATGGTTACATTTAATAATAATGTTGTTAGTATAACTAGCATTGTTAATCCCCGGGCAAGACGATATTTTACCCCTCCAGTTCTCTCTGATTTTCCAGTTGCGTTCTGCAAGAACAGACGACAAGAAACCATCAAGGATCCGGGACCATTGGGCGCCAGCCTCGAACCTGAGAGTCAATTCAATACTTCAAGACAAGACAACTCCTTAGACAAAAGCTGCACTTCTATCATGGGCTCATTGGAAAGCTTAACCGAAGTTGGATCAGAAAACATTTGAAGGACCATGGTTTTTTCAGGGCTCCCAACGTTTGTCATCGTGGGCTGAAAAATTTGAGCTTGTTCCTTGGCTCGGTCTGCAGCTTTGGTTAGTTGGTCGAGGCTGTGGGCGTGGGCGAAAACGTTAAGGATACTATTTAAGTACGGCGGGAGGCGCTGGATCCAGATCTGGCATAGACCAGAGTCATCTAACCTGGTGTTACGGACCAATGCACGCACCTGTCGCAGCAACCGGTATGGTTTGAAATTTCCAAGTTGTCTCCCGGACAGCAGAAGCCGAATGCACTCCTCTTCGAAAATAGCCATATGACGGAGGAGTGCTTCTTTGAGCACGTCGTACGGATTATGCCTGGGGTTATTCAGGTATATATCCCTGAATTGCTAATTATGTCTCGCGGTATCGCGGACAGTAGTTTATGGTAACGCAACAATTGCCCGGCGATGCGGGCTTCATGGAATCGCGATTTCAAAAATGCGAAGAACTCTTCCGGGTCCTCTGGCATGAACTGCGGTATGTTGATTTAGGCCTAGAGTGCTTCTCTGTCGGTTAAACACTTATGCTCGGGGTTAGTCATACTTAACAGTAAATATATGATATAAGGTTGCGGAACCGATTATAAAAATATGAACAAATAGTCCCCAGGAGAAAAATACGACTAAAAAACTATAATGCCAAAATCGAATCAGCAAGGACAGTTAAACCACCATCTAGTAATAACTTTAATCTAAAATTTATGGGTCAAAGATAGAGATCAGTAAAATGGTGTACCGGCAAAATACTAGTAATGTGACCTAGAGAAATTAAAATTTTCCGGAAAAGAGAATATTTTCAACCTAAATAAAAAATCACGTCGGGCTCACCGGATTGTACGCGTTTGCGTATAGGTACCCCAAGATAATGCGTCTATGTCAGAAACGAGCCTTCGTTCGAAAAGGAGAACGAGACAGTTCACGAAGCGGTAAACGGTTGTATTGTGATAACCTGCAGAACAAAAAGGGAGATGCGAAAGCGTGAGCAAGCGTGCGGAAAGTGAAAGCAAACACCAGCAGACAAAGAGGTGGCCTTAGTGTGGTAAAACAGTGAAATGCAAAGGAGGAAGGATACATGTAGAATGGGAGTTGGTTGGGATCACGACAGAGGAAGCAGGCGGCTTGGTTCATGTTTATAACTCTTATCAGCACATAAAATACATTCAAAATGAAAAGCAAAAGAACAACTTCTAAGAATTACCGGCAACATTTTTATCAGAAAACCTACGAAATAGTTAAAGCAATCGTGCTTCATGAGTGGACTTGTCAGGAGCATGAATGATATTTTCATCTTGGTATGCTTCAACAACTTTAGTATCGGGGTTGATGATGTCCGCGAATTCGTACGTCTAACAACTTGCGAGGTAACAAACCAAAGCAGAAGGACTGATATCACNAAACCTCAACGACTGTTGTATTGTTATGAGCTGGAGAGTAGAGAGAGAAGCGTACAGGTAAGTAAGCGTGTAGAAAGAGAAAGTCAGGGTACCGTGACCAACGAGGTAATCTTGGTCCGGTAAAACAACAAGGTCCGGAAGATGGAAAAGGTACATGAGCGGAAAGGGTTGACACTGTCACTACAAACCAGACATGTCACTAGTAATGTCATTCATAACTTGAGGGAATATGGCAGGAAAACTGGGCAAACCAAACGGCAGAAATTTATATCTGTACAAATCAAAAGCGGTATTAATAGTTGTCAAGGTGGAGGAGGTTTTGTCTAACGGAATTTGTAGATAAGCATCTTTCAAGTCAATCGTGGAAAATACCTCAGAACCAGTCAACTTGTTCAGAATGTTGTCTGGTTCAACAGTTGTACATATCTGCTTTGACAGTCTCGGATTCAAGGTGATTCGACAGTCACCACATATTCTGGGGATCTTGCCATCCGACTTCAGTGGCGTGACGACTGGTATTGTTGTGTCTTACTTTTCTATCCACTTTATCTGACCTGATTGTACNAATATGCGCAGTACCTAATACACAATACAAAAAGTCTGTTCGTAAATACGCACGTGTTCTCCGAGTGTTGCTGAGGAATTAAGCAAGCATTATCAGTTATCGTCAAGCGGTCCGTTAACTGTCGCAGTCATCCATTTCAGCTCCTCTACACCTCGTCGACCGGAACCACACATCACAAGAACAGGATCAACCGACCAGCGAACAATCCTTCTGTGATTCCGTTCCTTGTACCGTTAATTTCATTATTATTCGTATATGTAGTATCTTTTCCACTACAGTATATCTCATGCTGACGACACCACATTCTTTACGATAATTTTGGAGCACAAATTCTTCATTGCATTCATGACAGGTTCCCGGAGGCCATATGGAATAAACTGGCGTTTGAGAAAAACTGGATCGCTATTGATTGGTAATTTCACTGGGGGATGTTCATGCCACCACTGGCCTTTGAGCCTTTAGTGATTAAACCTTTTAGTTCATTTTCAATATCAACAGAGTTTAACAAGGAAAGATTGACATTTAGTGCTTGCATAGCCTTCAAACCTAGTATCTAGGCGCTAGACTTTATTACAATGAATGTATAGAGGGCACTTTTAGAATGTTCATAACGGACTGAAACCTGACAAGAACGAACAACAGGCAATGAATGTCCAATGATGATATTTATGGTGACAGTGGAAGGCTGTAGTTTAGTATCTGGAGCAAACGGTCTTAAATCATGCACAGAAGTTAGAGACTCCATACTCCCTACTACCAGTGTCTAAAATGAAATGTCGTCTCGGTGTTAATCTCCGTCCAAATGGCTCGTACAAAGCAAACTGCCCGCAAATCCACGGGAGGCAAGGCTCCGCCCAAGCAGCTGGCCACGAAGGCAGCTCGCAAAAGCGCCCCTGCCACTGGTGATGTGAAGAAACCGCATCGCTACAGGCCAGGGACTGTCGCGCTCCGTGAAATCCGTCGCTACCAGAAAAGCACGGAATTGTTGATTCGCAAACTGCCTTTCCAACGTCTCGTCCGTGAGATCGCTCAGGACTTCAAGACTGACCTGCGCTTCCAGAGCTCGGCCGTGTCCGCTCTGCAAGAAGCCAGCGAGGCTTATCTGGTTGGCCTGTTCGAAGACACCAACCTTTGCGCAATCCACGCCAAGCGCGTTACCATCATGCCTAAGGATATCCAATTGGCGCGTCGCATCCGCGATGAACGTGCCTAAGCGTCTCCCAGGAGAAATGGTGGCACCGATCCCACCAGCCGACTTCAACTACGGTGACTATGCAGCCCGTTTAGTACATCGCATGCGACAACTGCATATTCAACCACCTTGCCAGCAAACACCTCTAGCCTACATCCCCCCTAGCTTAACCGAAAGCTCGCATGTCTTCCTAAGGGCAGAGGCTCACGCACCACTGCAACTTCAATACAGCGGCCCACACAAAGTACAACGAGGCTTGGAGAAAGCCTACGTAATAGAGCGCAACGGTAAACGTGAGACCGTCAGTATTGACCGACTCAAACCTGCGCACCTGGAGGAAACCGTTCCTTGCACTACTCGCCCCCCACCCGTTGCGCCACCCGCAACTC